GGTTCAAACCCACCAGCCACTCCTCGGAAGGAAGGTTGGGCAATATACATATGTAGTGATACCACCTCGGAAACTCAAGGAGGGGTCGCTATGAGTTGGATCTGACTTGATGGCATTAAGTTTAGTTAGTTCATGGCTAATGATCATGAGTGTTTCTTCATGTGTTTGTTGGCTGCCTGAATATCTTCAGTGAAGTGTCTGTTCATATCCTTTCCCCATTTTTGAATTGGATTGTCATTTTTATGTTGAAGTACTGAGGTTTTCTATAAATTTTAGAGATGGGACCCTTGTCAAATATGTCATTGCCAAATATTTTTTCCCAGTTTATAGTTTCTCTTTTTATTCTTCTGGAGAAGTCTTTGATGCACACAAGAATTTCATTTTTAGAAGAACCCAGTCATCATAGTTTCTCTTCTGTTGTTTGTGCATTTTGGGTTATTCTTGATAGTCTATTTGTACCGTAAATTAAGGCCTCTAAGTTTTCCTCTGTTTTATCTTTGATGAACTTTATAGTTTTGGGTTTCCTTGTACTTTCATTAACAGTAACAGAATAGTTTTGTCTAAATTTTATTTATTGTGTTGTTGTTGATGACAGTATACACCAATTTTGCGGTTTCTGCATGGTCAGTTCAGTGACATTGATTACATTGTTCGAGTTGTGCAACTGTTCTTATCCTCCTTTTCTGACATGTTCTTCCTCATTAACATAAACTAACTGCTCCCTAAGCTTCCTACCTAACATTTTGAGTTGCTGTTGTTAATTTGACTGGAGCTCTGGTAGCGTAGTGCCTGACATTTGACTGTTAACCAGAAGGCTGGCAGTTCAAACCCACCAGCCACTCCTCCGAAGGAAGGCTGGGCAATCTACTTTCATAATGATACTGCCTCGGAAACCCAAGGAGGGGTTGCTGTGAGTCGGGTCCAACTCGACGGCACATAACAACAAGAACAACAAGTATACACACACAGAGACACACACATATAAGATAGTATTTTATTGAATTTTTGGTGAAAGTTTACATAGCAAGTTATGTAGACATTTGACAATTTTCATAAAAATTGTTCAGTGACATTAGTTACATTTATCACTATGTGACAACATTCTCTCTCCTTTTTTTTTTTTTTTAACTTCTATTGTGAAAGCACACACAAGACGTTCGCCAACATAACAACTTCTACATTTACAGCGCAGGGACATTGATGATATTTTTCATGTTGTGCCACCATTATTGCTATCCTTTTCTAAAATATTCCATCACCATTAGGATAAACTCAGTGCCTCACAAACAAAAGCTTTCCCTTTCCCCCCTCCCTCCTATCCCTGGTAACCACTAGTAGTTTTTGGTTGTATTTGTATATTTTCCCCCCCAACTTATCTGGGTATTTCCCACCCCCACCCCCACCCCCACCCCCACACCATCTTTGGTACCAAGAAAGAATGTTCCCTTCCATATATAAATCTTCCCTTGAGTTTTACGTTGTTGTTGTTGTTGTTATGTGCCATCGAGTTGGCCCTGACTCATAGCGACCCCTCCTTGGGTTTCTGAGGCAGTATCACTACGGAAGTAGGATTGCCCAACCCTCCTTACAATAGTGGATTAATAAAATATTTGCCCTTCTGTGATTGATCTATTTCATTCAGCATAATGTCTTCCAAGTTTATCCACATTAGGCGGTATTTTGCAGGTTCTACGTTATTGTTTAGTTTTGCATAGTATTCCATTGTGTGTATATACCACAGTTTGGTTATCCATTCCTCCATTGTTGTTTTAATCTCTTCGCTATTGTGAATAGTGCTGAGATAAACATGGGTGGGCACATATCTGTTTGTGTCCTGCCTCTCACTTCTTTAGGTATATACCTAGTAATGGGATTGCTGGATCAAATGGTATTTCTGTTTGCAACTTTTTAAGGAATAGCCATACTGATTTCTACAGTAGTTGTAACATTTTACAGTCCCAGCAGCAGTGTATAATCCCATTCTTTCCACACCCTTGCTAGCATTGGTTATTTTCTGTCTTGTTGAATTTTGCTGTTCATGCTGGGGTGAGATGGTATCTCATTTTTTGTTTTGATACAATGTGACAACATTCTTAATTATGTTCAGTTTGTTCCCTTTCTAATACTCTAGGTTCCCTGCCCCCTTATCTTTTTGTCTTTGCTTTTTCAGTAATTGTTGACCTTTTGGTCTCATACTGATGATTTTTAAGTAGGACACCAGTCTTATGGGTAATATCCTTTATTTTGTGTGCCCCTCTTCTTTTTCGCTAAAATGTTATCTCAGGAGATAGGCTCAGTTCTAGGCTTAAAGAGTGTCTCAGGGTGATGGTCTTGGGGAGTCCTCTGTTCTCTACTGCTCTTATTTGTCTTGCTTTTTTTTTTTTTTTTTCCAAATAAGAATTTGAGTTCTACCAGTTTTTCTCCCACTCTCTCTAAGACCAACTCTTGGGACCCTGGTCAGAATAATCTGTGGTAATAGCCAGGCACTATCTAATTCTTCCAGTCTACAGGTAGATGAGGCTCATGTAGACTTGTTTATTCTCTACGCTTTTGGTTACCTTCTTACTGTTTTGCTCCTGGAGAGTAGAGATTGTGGTTGTATCTTACTGGCAGCTTGCAAACTTTTAAGACCCCATATGCTACTTGCTTAACTAAGATGCAGATCATGATTTTTGTGCCACAGAATATTTTAAAATAATAAGAATTTCAGGTATCCCTGGGTGGCACAAATGGTTAAGTGCTCAACTTTGAGATGAAAGTGTGATGGTTCAAACCTACCCAGATGCCTCAGAAGATCGGCCTGGCAGTCTGCTTCCAGAAAGTCAGTCACCCTGTGAAGCAGTTCTGCTTGGCACACATGGGTCGTCATGAGTTGGAATGAACTCGACAGTAACTAACAACAAAAATTAATAATTTTATAATTGCAGGCACACTCTTAGGGGTCAAATTACCTTGTCCACAAAGCATTAGAAAGGGTTATCAAGACAATAGATTCAGGAAGAAAACATAATTTATGTATATCTTTGATTCTTTTTTCCCCCCTTTTCTCTTTAAACTAGCAGCAGAAAAGAAGGGTATCTTAGAGCTAAAGCAGCTATTTCTTTATGATGTTCATTTCGTAAGAAAGACAATTTAAAATAAATATATTAGAATAGATCTTTCACTTTTCTTGTGGCTTGTTCTTTTCTTTCACATAATTCACAGTGACTGACTAGTTTTTAACCTTACAGATCTTTTCAAAATTTGGAAGTTCTGATGATAAGCTCCAGGAGGCTTGGGTTTTATTGACGTTCTCCACTAACCAGCTGTGTGACCTTTGGGAAGAGTACTCCTTAGTAGGCCTCATTTAAGGGAGCACTAGTGGTACAGTTGTTAAAGCATTTGACTCCTAGCCAGAAGGTCAGTGGTTCAAACCCACCAGCCATTTCACAGGAGAAAGATGTGGCAGTCTGCTTCTGTAAAGATGTACAGGCTTTGAAACCCTATGAGGCGGTTCTGTCCTAAAGGGTCACTGTGAGTCTGAATTAACTCAATGGCAGTAAGCTTCATTTGGTTTAGGGCTCATTTCTTCATCTCTAAACTAGTTTACGTGGTTTCTAAGGTATCTTCAAATTCTAAAACTGGGAGAACATAAGAAATTTCATTCTGTAAGTTAGAAGTGACTTCAGGCTTGCAAAACTAGTTGGATTCTATAGTAAACATTTTCCGCATATATCCAGCCTGGCAACTGTTTATGGGCTGATTTCATTCTAGGGCTTTGGTGGCCTGCCTTTGCATTAAATGATAATTGTCTTGTGGCACTTTTGGCTCCTTAGCACAAATGGACAGGATAGCCCAGAAACAATACATCTAAGAAATAATGTGTCAAAATGAAGATATTATAAATCCACGACTGTGAGAAGGATTACTCAATAAATTGTTGTTCTTGTTATGTGCCGTCGAGTCAGCCCCGACTCATAGCGACCCCTCCTTGGGTTTCCGAGGCAGTATCACTACGGAAGTAAGATTGCCCAACCTTCCTTCCGAGGAGTGGCTGGTGGGTAGGATTATGATAATTGGTTGGCTATTTAGAAAAAAATGTATTAAGATCCTTGTTTTATATCATACACCAAAATAAGCTTCAGATACAAATTCAAAAAAATCACTGTAAGATTAGAAATGAATTAACTTGGATCAGAAATGAACATTGAAAAGCAAAGTGAGGAAAATATTTGTAGTAAATATTACCAATACAATTTTCATCTTCTATTTACAAAGAATTAATACAGATCCATAAAAGCACTGAATTCCTGATAAACTTGAAAGAGAGTGTAAGAGAGAAAGCACAAGCCCTGAGATAATTTTGTGGATGTACTTTTGTATGTATATATTTCAAAATTACCTGGAATTCCCAAATTTGATAATGTACTACCAGTGCTCTTCATAATATACACTAGAAAATAATTTGGGGGGGGGGCAGTATACTGTAGCTGTGTATAGTTTTCTCACTTTAAAAAATAATAGTAACTTAAAAGATAGAAAACAGAACAGTGTAAGTTTTCATTGTTTTAAAGAAACTTGAGGAGCCCTGGTTGGTGCAAACATTAAACACTGGACAAGCTGAAAGTTTGGCAGTTCACACCCACCCAGAAGTGCTGCAGAACAGGTCTGGCTGTCTGTTCTGCCCATATGGGGTTGTCATGAGTTAGAATCGACTCGATGGTGGCAGCTAACAACAACAACAAAGTGGCTTTGAGGGAATTTTGAAAGACCTTTTCTGTAATCTGTCCTGTCCAAAATTTATTTATTTGTTTGTTTGTTTATTTTTATAGGTGTAAATTAATTACTGGAAAGGAGTTGAACAATGGAGCCAGACATCATTCGAATGTACTCTTCATCCCCACCACCACTAGACAATGGAGCTGAGGATGATGATGACGATGAATTTGGGGAATTTGGTGGGTTTTCAGAAGTTAGTCCTTCTGGTGTAGGGTTTGTTGATTTTGACACACCAGACTATACTCGTCCCAAGGAAGAGTTTGTACCTTCAAACCATTTTATGCCGATTCATGATTTCTCAGCAAATGTAGATAGCCTTACAAGCTTTAAGCCCATTAAAAATGGTGATAATAAGCACGACCCTCCAGAGTTTTCTGCTCCTGTGAAAGGACATTCTGATGATTTACTTTCTGCCACCAGCAAAGAAATAATTTCATCTAAAACTTTAGATACTTCCATTGATGGCATGGAAAGTCCAGGAGATTTAAATAAAGCAGTGGAGCAGAGACAGAATTTTGGAAAACCTGAAAGTTTCTCTCCAGGAGATTTTAGAACTGATGTGAGTATTGTTCATCAAAACAAGCAGTTAGAGAGCTGCAATGGTGAAAAGCTTCCTTGTCTGGAGATTCTGACTAATGGGTTTGCAGTATTGGAAACTGTAAATCCTCGGGGAACAGATGATCTGGACACTGTAGCTGTTTCAAAGGGACTAAAGCCTCTTAGCACTCATAGCACTGAGTATACTTTAGACTCTGCACCTAGTCCTGCTGAGGAATTTGCAGATTTTGCCACATTTTCCAAAAAGGAAAGGATACAACTAGAAGAAATAGGATGTACAGTTTTAAATGATAAAAAAATACTAACTATTCAAGAAAACAATAAAATTAACAGAATCAATGAACTGAATTCTGTGAAAGAATTGTCTTTGGATAGACGCTTTGACAACAAAGGAGGCTCTGATGGAGAAGATCAGGTTTGTGTTTCAGAAATAAGTGTAGTGAATAACAGAGGTTTCAGTATTGAGAAACAAGGCCCTACAACACCGCAACAGGATGAAATTTTAAATTCAAGTGTCCCATCAAATGCTTGGAGTTTCATCGGCACAGCTGATAATTCAGAAGCCAGTAGGAGAGAACAATGTAAAACTGAAGAAGAACTTGATTTATTTACTTCTAAATGTGGTGACCTGTGCGTGGATTATATTAAAACTAATGATGCTGATAGTGAAGTTGATTCTTCCAAAGAAGAAATTATTTCCCAAAGCCCCAGCATCAATCCAACAGAAGAAAATGTTATAGATGATTCTATAAGTATGAAAAATGGCGATAGTAGTAATGACTTTGTGAGTTGCAATGATACAAATGAGGATGATTTTGGTGACTTTGGCACAGCCAGTGGCACAACTCCACCGTTTGCGACTGGCATGCAAGATTCAATGAGCGATGTCACTTTTGAAGAGTCCTCAGAACACTTTGCACATTTTAGTGAACCAGGTGATGACTTTGGAGAATTTGGGGATACGAATACTATTTCTTGCCAAGAAGAAATTATGTTTACTGAGTCAGACCTAAAACAGACTTCTGATGGTTTATCAGAGGAATGTCAATTGGCAAGGAAGTCTAGTGGGACAGGCATTGAGCCTGTTTCAAAACTGAAAAATGGGCAAGAAGGTGAGTTTGGAGATTTTGATTCTATGCCAGATACTCAAGATGGCTGCAGTACTTTTCAAGACTCTGATGATTTTGCAGACTTTAGTTCAGCTGGTCCTAGTCAGGTTGCAGACTGGAACGCTTTTGAGGATGGAGAGAAAGAGAGTTGCTCGTGGGCTGCTTTTGGAGACCAGCAAGTTACTGTGTCCCATCATCGAAAGGAGGCTTGGCAGTCACATAGGACAGATGAAAATGTCAATACTCCAGGAGCCCCCAAAACTCAGAGTGTCCCTTTAGCAACTTCCAGAGGAGCAGTTACTACTGGCCATTTACAGGAATCAGCCACTTCAGTTCAGGTATTTACTCATTTTCTTTATTTTGTGTGACATATTAATTGCTGTAGAGCTTCTAATTTAGCTTTTCCAAAAATATTTTTTTTTATTGAGGTACTTTATGTTAAAGGAGTCTTTTTTTCTGATAAATATTGCTTGCCTCATTTGTGGGTTAGTTGCATTTTCCACAAGCTTTGGTAAACTAGGCAGTTCTGTAGTAAAACTTGATGTGATTTTTCTTTATCTTAATTAGTTTCTTTAATAGTTACAGAAATTCATCAACTTGGTGTTTTGGTTTGTTTATGAACATAAATAGCTTTTATGTAAAATTTCATTCATTAGCAAGATAACCATTTGAGTAAATCCTTCAGTTTTTTCCTTTATAACGAAGTTAAATAAAGTTAAACTGAGATTTAAAAGATTTTTTTAAACTTTCAGAAAATGATGTCTGTTGATTCTGTTCATCACAGACCTAGGAGATTGAAGTATAGTTTGATTATAGAAGAGAGCAAGCAGAAGTTGAAGCCTTAGCCTGTGCTGAAGGCTGTGGTGAATTGAGATAGAAAAAAAAAATTCTGAAAATGCAGTTTGGACCTCATAATTTAGCAGCCACTTTTAAAAGCCCTAGGATGAGAGAAGGTGTCAATTAAGGTTTACACCTAGAGCAAAAAACAACCAACTATGTTGTTAGGTACCGTCAAATCGATTCTGAGTCATAGTGACCCTATGAGCAATAAGAAGAAAACAGCCATACCTTGACTTATTGTGGTTGTATGTATTTGCTTGCAATTTCTTAAAATGTGTATTTATGTTTACTTTCCTTAGGGCATAAGTTTGTCAGGGAGAATATTTTCACTGCTATCCACACCTCCCCAGCCCCTGTACTTTATCCTTTTTAGTCTACACTCATTTAGAGAAGATTTGATAAGTTTTATTTATTGTGACCTAAAGTAGCCCCAAGAGATGCAATTTGATATCCAGGTTGTTCCCCAGCCTGGAGCTGTACCATGTGCTAATGTCACTTTTCCTCGACCCCAGGGGTCCCTCCCTTGAAAATCACTGCTTTATACTGATAATTGATATTTTTAACAGCTGGTCCACAGGCTTATTTTTCAAAAAATTTTGTTGGGATTTGGGTGAAGTTTACAGAGCAAATTCCTTTTCCATACAGCAGTTCATACACATTTTGTTTCATGACATTGACTGTAGTTTCCCACAATGTTACAGCTCTCTCTTCCCTGTTCCTCCCTGTTGTTACCTCTTCCCTGTACCTAGGTCCTTCTTTCCTCTGTATTCCTGCCATTGCCCTCACTCCCCAGTTAACTTCCTGTGCAAACACTGCTCTTCCATTTTCCCCCAATTGATTGCTCTAAGGAGTGTATCTACCTGATACAAAAATGTTCATCCTCTATGCCTGTCTGTTGTTTGACTGGAAGCCACCAGAATAAGTTCAGTTACAGATCCTAAGGGTAACTAGGGGGTCTCACCAGGCTCTATCCAACCAGTAAATCTGGACTTTTTTCATGATTTTGAGTTTTGGTCCACATTGTTCTCCCACTCTATCCAGGATCTCCTGCACTGATTCCACGGGCTTATTTTAAAGATACTATGAATAAAATCAGAATCTACAAACTTTAGTTTTCTAGTTATCTTCAGTTAAGAAAACCATTAATGAGGGCAGTACAAACAACAAATATGAACCCCTTTGTAAATACAATACTGAGTTGTCAATGAAAGCAAACATGGGTATAGGGACGGATAGATGGGTGAACAAGCTAAACAATTATGTATGTCTAAATGGAGAGTGTATCCAAGATCATATACAGGGTTGGCAGACAATGGGCCTCTCGAAGAGTATGAAGGGATGGACACTGGGAGGAGGTAACTATGGGGAGGAAGTGGGAGGGGAGCTGCTGCATTGTAAATTTTGGTCAATGACATGAGACAAAGTATATGTGAACTGCTGTATGAAAAGTGAATTTACTCTGTAAATCTTCACCCAAATCCTAATTAAAAAAAAAAAAAGAAAAGAAAAGAAAACCATTAATGAATGGAAATATTTCCAAAGTCTGGGTGTTAATTGAAATGGTTATATACTATTCTTTTGATGCCTTTGACACAATAAGATATTAGAGAAATTGTGGTGTTACATCTTGGTGTGCATAACTAATCACTTTTCATTTGGCTTTGTGTGTCTGAATAGTTCTGTTTGCTAATTTCAGTTAATACATGGTGTATTATTCCTATTGAGTAATTTATTATTGAGGCAGAAACTTGTAATTTCAAACAAGGAATGAACTAATTAGAACACAAAGTGAAGAGCATTGGTTTTGACCTAACCATTTCCCTATTTCGTTTCATCTCACTACAAGAGTATAGGGTGGTGACACTGGTATTAGATGATCTTTCATTGGTAGCCTTAGAACTTTAAAAAAATATAACCCCTCAAACAGGAATTCCTTCCATCATTTATGTGTAATTTGTTAGTTGGGATGTAGAGCATAATGAAATATGTGGACTTCTTGGAATCTGACACATCTGCATTTGAGTTTTGACTCAGCTTTTTAAAAAGCTTTATGATTTTGGACAAGTGACTTCTCTGAACTCAGTTGTCTGTACAAAGGAGATAAGTAGTCACCTCAAAGGCACTTGTGAAGATAAAATAGAAAGTAAATGAGAAAATGAGGGGAAAAGCCAATTTGCTAGAAAATTAGAATTTTGTAATATGATTGAGCTTTTGTAAAAATAAAAACTACATAGACACGGTAAGCTGCATTGAGATTTCTGAGATATGTATGAGAACCAATAGGTGAGGTGATTTGGCTTAGGTCTAAGGCTTTTATTTTGTTGGATGAGTTACGCAAATTGAGCAGAATTTTGGAAATTAATGTTGTGGAGTAGAAACTGCTGGAAGGGGCCTGGAATGAGCTGAAAAGAGAAGTTTGGGAAGGAAGTTAGGGTAGGAAAGAGAGTAAGCCCTACTGAGGGGGAGTAGCCAAGTCATAAGTGGGTAAAAATTGCACAGTGACTTTCATTCTTCGCCTGCTGTGGTGAAAGAGACTGGCCGGCAGTCCTTCCTTGGCCTCTGTATTCTGCTGGAAAACTGTACTAATCTAGTCCTCCTATAGAATAATAGATTAATATTTTTCTTAAAATGCTTTTCCTAATTGCTGCAGTGTTGGGGACAGCCCCAAAATCCTCACATATCATTGGCAGTAAAAATTAAGTTTATAATGCTAAAACTTGAAATGATTTATTCTTGTCAAATCCTATCTGGCTGTAACTAATGCCCAGAACAGAGTGCCATCAAGTGGTCTTGTCCCAGTCTTGCTTTCACAAAACATTGTGAGGCTCTTTTAGGATTCAGAACTCAGTAAATGTGGGAACAGTTCTTTGCTTTATGAAGTCAGGCAAATGGTATAGTTGTAATTTCTCATTTCTTCCACTTTTCACTGTATTTGGTATATGACATTGCCCCAGTCCCTATTATTTATTTTAGTACTTTCCTTTTTTTCCAATCTAAAAAAAAAAGAGAGATCTTAAAAATTGTAGTAACTCTATCTTCTTTGATTGTTCAAAGACAATTATTGCAGCTTTGTTACAATCATTTGTTACTTAGGTGGGAAAAAGTCAACCAAGAAGAAATCTTCCATATTTATAAAATATTTTCAGTCACGCTAATTCTCAGATGTGGGCTCAGCAAGCCTCAAGTTCAAGTGTTGATGTAAAAGCTTTATCATGAACGTTTATGGAGAAATAGACATTCTTCCCCCTTGGGTGAATTTTTTTTTTTCCTCCTTAGAACCCCAGAGTTCAATATATTTCATTCTCTTGTCAACATTCTTATAAATTGTTGAGAAAAGTAGTGCTGTATCTCTGTCATACAGATGGGAAAGAAGTCAAAACTGCTTTTCCGTTTTAGAGCTAAGATTTAAAACAAAACAAAATGACAACATCATCAACAGCAAAAAACTTCCTTTAGTTTCAAAGCAGTCCTCTTTTCCAAAAGACTATTATGTATATTGTTGTTGTGATTTTCAATTTTTTTTTTAAATAACTTTCAGTGGTCCAAAAAGGAGTCTGGATTAAAATAGCCAAGATGCCTTTTTCTTCATGTAAAAAGACAATGTCATAAGCACTGCATTTAACCCTGAGCTATTGTAAAATTTAAAAATACTCCTGGATGTTATTTGAGAATTTAGGTAATTGGTAAATAATCTGTTTATATTAATTGGCTGTATGCAAGGAGACTATGAGTCATATTAGCTATCTAATTGATAATACTACTGATAAAATATTACTACTTAAATATTTGTTTTTGAGAACTTTAAAAAGTAAGAGTACCGCAAAAAAAGGAAAAAGAGGAGCATTACCAACGTTTTGGCCAATAGCATTTCTAGATTATTTTAAGTTTGTTTTGTTTACCAGTAAGTCAGTGTTCTCAAACTTAGAACTACATTTTCACCTTCATTTATTTAATCATCTGCACAGGTTTGTGTCACTTTTCCCTTCTGCAGGTGAACACTTGAACTTAAGACTGAAAACAGAAATTTAAGCAACAAGATAAAGGATTGAGAACTTAAGGCTGTGGCTGTATAGCTCTTTGCTTATTTGGATTGCATTTCCTTTGGCTATTTTTCCCTCAAACTTTGACAAACTGTTCTTTGATTCCAAAATAGATAGAAATACTTGATTAGATTTATTCCAGAAATTGTAGAGAGGGGGCAAATATTTTTTTAGTGCACAGTGAATAATATTACAGTTGGTCGTGCTTGTTTTTATACAGCTTGAAAGTAGGGATTGATAAGTATACAAATGTAAATTGTACTTGATATCTTGTTTAATATTTAATGATGGTGAGGCATAAGGTATCATCTTAAATGGAAGATTAAATTACCCAATGGATTTTATGTTTCTTCTAAACTTGCATTTAAGTGCAAGCACCTAGTGCTATCAATATTAAAACTGTTTACATTTATCAACTTTTGTTCCTAAGCAAGAAAGGAAAAAAGAACTGGAAATAG